AAGGCTTGATTATCACTGTGGTTAAATGCATGACTATTATTCCACTGTGCCTGTTTTGATCAAGTGCTTTCTATCTTTTGGCATCTTTGATGGGCTTCCCCAATATCAAAATTCTAAGTTAAGTCTTTCTAAGCTAGATTTAACTTTGGGATTTTCCCACTGGGCCACAGAGAAGGTAGAAGAATGTCTCTCTCATCCTGTGGAGCTACTAAAATCAGGATTATTTGGAAAATGGTTTGGGAAACCTTGTCAAATAGTGAGGCAAGATCTTCTTTCAGTTACATGAATGGATAAGTTATTGATAAGAATGTTCCAAAACTGTATAAAACTCTTAGAAATCTAATGTATCAGTCATAAATCTGGTTATTATGTCATAAGCCAGAACGTAGTCAAATTTCCTTGTCAATTGCTGATTATAATGAATTTCCATTCAATTTTTAATCATGATTATTCTAAGTCTCTGTCATCAACCGTTTTGATTTTTTCTAAAGATACCTGCAATCAGATTCACAGAAAAGACTGTAACAAAACTCTTAAGTCTAGGTTACTAATAACTATAAGATCAAGACTGAATAAAATTTTTTCAGAATTCTAATGAAGAGTCTTGAATTCACGAAACTGCTAATCAAGATCAAGCAGAAAAAAATTAATTACGTAAGATTAAGTAACACTGATGAAGGTAATGTTTTTGTTACCTTTTATTTTTTATTTTTTCCCCCAAGAATCCTGCTCTGTCGCCCAGGCTGGAGTGCAGTGGTGCGATCTGAGCTCACTGCAACCTCCATTTCCCAGGTTCAAGTGATTCTCCTGCCTCAGCCTCCCAAGTAGCTGGGATTACAGGCATGTGCCACCACGCCTGGCTAATTTTTGTATTTTTAGTGGAGACAGGGTTTTACCATGTTGGTCAGGCTGGTCTCAAACTCCTGACCTTGGGTGATCCACCTGCCTCAGCCTCCCAAAGTGCTGGGATTACAGGTGTGAGCTACTGCACCCGGCCTTTTTTTTTTTTTACTTTTATGTAAAATATCATTAGTTCTTTCCTTAAATGTTTTATTTTCAAGTTTAAGGAAATTTTTTTCTCTTAAGCTATCTATAGTTTATAAGAGTTTGGTAAAATACGCTTTTGTGAAGAAACATGGAAGCATTTTCTTTTCTTCCCTACTTGATTCTTCCAAAATTTAGAAACTACTTGGGAGTATTCTTATTTTTTTTATGGCAACACGGTTATGTGCGTAAGTTCAATAAAAATCTGCTCTTTTTTAATAGAATGCAATTGAAAATACTGGTTATATTACCAAGGTTTTGACTGGAACATTGTATTTCAGAACACAGAATGCCCTTCAAGGGTTCCTAGCCTGACAGTTTCATTTTTGAGACAGAGTTTCACTCTTATTGTCCAGGCTGGAGTGCAATGGTGCAGTCTCGGCTCACTACAACCTCTGCCTCCCGGGTTCAAGCGATTCTCCTGCCTCAGCCTCCTGAGTAGCTAGGATTACAGGCATGTGCCACCACACCCAGCTAATTTTTGCATTTTTAGTGGAGACAGGGTTTCACCATGTTGGTCAGGCTGGTCTCGACCTCAGGTGATCCAGCCACCTCGGCTCCCAAAGTGCTGGGATTACAGGCATGAGCCACTGTGCCCAGCCTCCAGCCTGATAGTTAATGAGTAAAAACTGTCACTTTCTAGCAGGCCCAAGAACCTTAAGACTATAGGTAAAATCTAAAATCTGCCTTGATTTGGCTTCTTAGCCTCAAAAGGTTTCTAAATCTGAAATTCCTATGTGATCAATGCAGAAAGAAAAAAGTTAAGTTTCTAAAGAAATGCTATAGCCAGGTACTGTGGCTCATGCTTGTAATCTCAGCACTTTGGGAGGCTGAAGCAGGTGAATTGCTTGTGCCTAGGAGTTCAAGACCAGTCTGGGCAACATGGCAAAACCTCATCTCTACAAAAATACAAAAAATTAGCTGGGTATGGTGGCGCATGCCTGTAGTCCCAGCTATTCAGGAGGCAGAGGTGGGAGGATCACCTGAGCCCAGGAGGCCGAGGCTGCAGTAAGCTATAATCGCACCACTGCACTCCAGCCTGGGTGACAAAGTAAGATCCTGTCTCAAAAAAGAAAAGGCCGGGTGTGGTGGCTCACACCTGTAATCCCAGCACTTTGGGAGGCTGAGGAGGGAGGACCACGATGTCAGGAGGTCAAGACCATCCTGGCTAACACGGTGAAACCCCGTCTCTACTAAAAAATACAAAAAATTAGCCGGGCATGGTGGCAGGTGCATGTAGTCCCAGCTACTCGGGAGGCTGAGGCAGAAGAATTACTTCTACTGGAGGCAGAGGTTGCAGTGAGCCAAGATCGCACCACTGCACTCCAGCCTGGGCAACAGAGCAAGGCTCTGTCTCAAAAAGAAAAAGAAAAAGAATGCTATAACATACCTGTTATTAGATTCTAGCTCTATGCATTGTTTTCAAGTTCTTATTGTCTACCTATAAGCTAGACTAGATCCTAAACCTAAATTCTTCTAGATTCTTCCAATCTAACTTTCTTCCATGGAATTTAAAAAAATATTAATTATTAAAAATTCTTCCAGCTACTCTACCACTCTATTCTTAAAGCCCTATGAGCTGAAACTAGATTAATTTTAAGGAACAAATGTCATGCCAGATTTATAGGCCACAAAAAAAAGTTCAGCAAACCACCTGATGCCATAACCAAAGACAAAGACATTCAAATTACAAACTGAGATGAGAAGTTGACGTTCTCACACTATAGACAGCTTTTCTATAAGATTCAGCATCATGAGACTCTTACCCACTTACTGCCTGCCATTTTCACTTGACAGGATAATGGTCATTTGATTTACACAATTGGTTGCCTTTTTAAGCTGGGGTTCATTGCTCAAAACCATTATGCAGACTGAGATTGTCATTACTATGAATTTTACTTTGTATTTTCCCTTTTTAAACTGTGTATATGTTATGTTACTTGTCAAATTTTTGCAGAAGTACAACTCCTAACATAATATGCTTCTAACCAGAAATGCTGGTCCAGCACTTTGAGATGATAGCAAGACCACAGAACAGACAAATTGAACTTAATAATGGACTCCAGGTAGACTTAACCTGAGAGCCACTCCCTCAAACCTCCCTTGTTGCTCAAATGTGGCTGAAAAGGTTTTGCCACTGACTCCTACTTGCCAAAACTCCTTCTAATGTACGACCAGATCAGCAACCTGGGACAGGTTCATCTCGGCACTGAGGGATATCAAAATCTAACTACAGAATGATCGATCACTGATGCTTTTAGAGGAAGAATTTAATCAAAAGGGGGAAATGTGAAAGTTGTCAGAATTAAAATGGAGTTACTTATGTTTTTCAAAAAAAAAAAAAATCTCTGGTGGCCAGGCATGGTGGCTCACGCCTGTAATCCCAGCACTTTGGGAGGCCGAGGTGGGCGGATCACGAGGTCAGGAAATCGAGACCATCCTGGCTAACATGGTGAAACCCCATCTCTACTAAAAATACAAAAAATTAGCTGGGCGTGGTGGCAGGCGCCTGTAGTCCCAGCTACTCGGGAGGCTGAGGCAGGAGAATGGCGTGAACCCAGGAGGCGGAGCTTGCAGGGAGCCAAGATCATGCCACTGCACTCCAGCCTGAGCAACAGAGCTAGACTCCATCTCAAAAAAAAAAAAAAAACCTCTGAAAAATAGAGCCAAGGTAGGCCATGAAGAGAAGGGTCATACATATATGCCTGATAAAAAAACTATTACAAAAGACTGCAAAAACCACATTACACAAAAGCCATCACAACCTCACACAAAAAAATACTTCTGCGAGGACATCTGCTCAACAACTGACTGTCCAACCTTGAATTGGCACACCCTTGTTATTGACCCTTGTAGCCAAGGATAATTTTTTTTATTTTATTTTATTCTTTTTCCTTTTGAGACAGGGTCTCTCCCTGTCTCCAGTCTGAAGTGCAATGGTGTGATCATAGCTCACTGCAACCTCAAACTCCTGGGCTCAAGCAATCCTCCCACCTCAGCCTCCCAAGTAGCTAGGAGTACAGGTACATGCCACCATACCCCGCTAATTTATTTTTATTTTTGCAGAGATGGGGTCTCACCACATTGTCCAGGGTGGTCTAGAACTCCTGGACTCAAGTGATCCTTTTGCCTCAGCCTCCCAAACTGCAGGGATTACAAGCATGAGCCGCCACACCTGGCTAGGATAATTATCTTAAAAGGATTTTGTAATCCTCATATTTCCTTTAGAAATCTTTTTCTTCCTTTAATATGCACATAGTTTACTATCACATGCATATTCTCACTGTAATGCCCTATTCCCGAATGAATATAATTTTCTTTTAGAGCACCTCTCTCTGTTTATTATGTAGGTTGACAACCCAAAGAAATTCACACCAAGATACCTCATAATTAAATTTCTGAAAATGAAAGACAAAAAAAAAAAATTCATGGAAGCAGCTAGAGAAAAATGACACCTTACCTATATGGGAAAAGCAATTTGAATGACAGTGGATTTCTCCTCAGAAACTGTGGCGACCAGAAGAAATTAACACAATATTTTTCAGGTGCTGAAAGAAAAAAGCCTATACCCTGCAAAAATATTCCTTAGGAAGGAAGGGGAATCAAGACATTCGCAGATGAAGGAAAACTAAGGAACTTTGTCAGCAGCAGATCTACGCTAAAACATTGGTGAAAAAGATTTTGTTTTTTTTTGTTTTCGAGAGAGAGAGACACAGTTTCACTCTGTTGCGCAGGCTGGAGTGCAGTGGTGTGATCTCGGGTCCCTGCAACCTCTACCTCCCGGGTTCAAGTGATTCTCCTGCCTCAGCCTCCTGAGTAGCTGGAACTACCGGCATGCGCCACCACGCCCAGCTAATTTTTGTGTTAATAGAGACAGGGTTTCACCATGTTGGCCAGGCTGGTCTCGAACTCCTGACCTCAAGTGATCCACCCACCTCAGCCTCCCAAACTGCTGGGATTACAGGTGTGAGCCACCATGCCCAGTGGTGAAAAAGAAGGAATGGAAATAATAAAAGAAGGAACCTTGGAACATGAGGAAGGATGAATGAACATTCAAGCAAAAATATGGGTAAATACACTAGACTCTCCTTCTCTTGAGTTTTCTAAATTATGCTTGATGGTTGAAGCAAAAATTGTAACACTGTCTAATGTTGCTCTAAATGTATGTAAAGGAAATATTTAAGACAATTATATCTTAAGTGGAGAGGGTAACGTGATATAAAGGGATATACAGGGAGGTACGGCTTCTGTGCTTTACTCAACTGGTAAATGGTGACACCAGTAGACTTTGACAAGTTTTATATGTGTAAACAAATACCCAAGACAGCCACTAAAAAGTTATGCAGAGATATACTCAAACACAGTCTAGGTAAATCAAAATTGGTTTTTAAAAATTGGTCAAGTAACTCACAGGGAGGCAGGCAAAAGAATAAAAAACAGAATAACTAGAAAATATATAAAATGGCAAACTTAAGCCCCAATATATCATAATTATATTAAAAGTAACTGGTACAAAACACCAATTAAAAGATATTGAGGCCAGGTGCAGAGGCCCATGCCTGTTAATCTTAGCACTTTGGGAGGCTCAGGTGGGCAGATCGCTTGAGGTCAGGAGTTCAAGGCCAGCCTGGCCAACATGTTGAAACCCTGTCTCTACTAAATATACAAAAATTAGCTGGGCATGGTGGTGCATGCCTGTAATCCCAACTACTGGGGAGGCTGAGGCATGAGAAACGCTTGAACCTGGGAGGCAGAAGTTCCAGTGAGCTGAGGTTGCACCACTGCACTCTAGTCTGGGCAACAGAGTGAGACAGTGTCTCAAAAATAAATAAAGAGATTGACAGAGTAGATTAAAGAGCATGAACCAACTATATGATGTCTGTAAGAAATTCACCTCAAATAACAACAATATAGGCAGGTTGAAAGTAAAAAGGTAGAAAAAGATATATTATGCAAACACTAATCAAAGGAAAGCAAGAGGAACTTCATTATTTTTTGGGAGACAAGATCTCATTCTGTCACCCAGGCTAGATTGCAGTGGCACAATCACAGCTCACTGCAGCCTCAAACTCCTAGGCTCAAGCAATCCTCCAGCCTTGGCCTCCCCAAGTGTTGGCATTACAGGTGTGAGCCACCATGCCCAGCCAAGAGTGACTATATTAACAGATCATAAAGTACACTTCAGAGCACAGAAAACTATAAGAGATAAAGAGCATTACATAATGATAAAATGGTTAATGAATCAAGAAGACATAGCGATCGTAAATGTGTGTGCACTAAATGAAAGAGCTGCAAAACATGTGAAGGAAAAACTGAACTAATAAGAGAAATGTAGACAAATCTACAAATGTCATGAACTGAACTGTGTCCCTCCCAAATTCATATGTTGAAGCCCAAACCTCCAATATGACTATATTTGGAGACGAGGCTTTTAGGAAGTAATTAAGTGTGAGGGATCAGTCAGAATGGCGGGAAAAACTATACGGAAAGGAAAGGACGCAAACCTTCTGAAAGGTCAGAAGGTTCTGCAGAACCCTGGTGGGGGAGAATAGCTGAAGGCAGCTGTTCTATATTAGCATTTTCATAAGCCAATTGCAACAATAAGATATCAGCGGCCTGGGCATGACTAATTTGTCTCTTAATTGTCTGGGTTAACCAATTGATAAATTCAACAAATGGCTCCTGAGGCCCTTGTCGAACATTTACAAAAGATCCCTGTTGAACTCTGCCTTCAGGAATTCGGTCCCAAGCCCTGCAGGCGCATAAGGACACTTGTGCATAGGCTTGGGGGACAAAACTGTTATTGCACATTGACATAGGGACCCCGCCCCTGGAGCATAGCAGCCTCGTTATGTTTTGCGCAGCCAATTGATTCTGGTTGGTTTGTTGTTCACACAACTCATCATATTCTGCCCTCCAGTGTAGGTATTGACTGGCCTCTAAAGTTGTTTGAGCTAGCACTGACCAGTCCCATGGGGTCATATGGAAGTTATCTGCTATGGCCTCAATCAATCCTTTCATAAATGGGCTAGCAGCTCCGTTTTCTCTAATGCTTTTTCTTATTTCTTTATAAGTGTTAAAAGTAATGGGTTCACGTACCTGATTGCCTTGTTGATCTTGCATCACCAGGCAGGCCAAGAGCTCCCCTTCTAATGCCACTGGCCTCAGACAGGGTCCCATAACTGTAGTGTATCCCTTATCTTTTTTCCAATTTACTGGGGCAGGGGGCTCAGGGAAAATCTGTCTCCTCTGTGGCACCTTTACCCGGTAACAGCAGGGCTGAGGGAGGAGGAGGAGGAGGTGGTAAGGTAGATGATGGTTCTTCCTCCCTTTCCTTTTTAGGCTCTTCTGTGTAGAGTGGAGCCAAAGCAGCCCTAAGGCCCATAACATTAAAGGTGTTACTGGGACCCGTTGCCCTTGTCCATGATGTCGTTTAAACTTTCTTCCCACTTGTTCCCAGAGCTCTAGGTCTAGTGTGCCTTCTTCTGGGAGAATGACAGTTTGCATTAGGTCCCTTAATTGGGCCTCCGAGACCAAGGCTCCACTTTAAGCAGCTGTTTCAATACTTTTATATACTGTTGCTGTTGAGTGGATAACTGTTGTCCCATGATGAAACCCTAGCTTGAAAATCCCCTCAAATTTGGAAATCCTGAGCGGACACCAATTACTTACTGCACAGTCACTTCACTTTCGTTCTCGAGGGTTCTGTGACGATCCATTACAGTGTTCCTCACATGGGGCACCACCTGCCAGGTCTGTCCCACAGACCCTGGCCGATGGATGAAACGAGTACTCAGATACAGGTGTGCAGTTTAAGAGCAGCTAGGTGACTGCTTGGCTCTAGTGGCTACAGAGCAGCCCCAAGAAGCTGGAGCTGCTTGCTTGCTTGCTTTTTTTTTTTTTTTTTTTGACAGAGTCTCACACTTTGTCTCCTGGGCTGGAATGCAATGACGTGATCTCGGCTCACTGTAACCTCCACCTCCCAGGTTCAAGTGTTTCTTCCGCCTCAGCCTCCGAGTAGCTGGGATTACAGGCACGTGCCACCACACCTGGCCAATTTTTTGTATTTTTGGTAGAGATGGGGTTTCACCGTGTTAGCCAGGATGGCCTCTATCTCCTGACCTCATGATTCGCCTGCCTCAGCCTCCCAAAGTGCTGGGACTACAGGTGTGAGCCACCGCACCCAGCCCTGGAGCTGTTTGCTTTTATTCAGCGCATGCACAATGCCAAAAACTGGGAGCCAACACAACCTGCAGGTAATTAACATTTATTGTTCCCCTTTCAGGGAATGTCATTCTTGCAGATGATAAAAGGTCAGTTCCATCCCAGCACTTTGGGAGGCCAAGACGGGCGGATCACGAGGTCAGGAAACCGAGACCATCCTGGCTAACATGGTGAAACCCCGTCTCTACTAAAAAATACAAAAAAACTAGCCAGGCGAGGTGGCAGGCGCCTGTAGTCCCAGCTACTTGGGAGGCTGAGGCAGGAGAATGGTGTAAACCCGGGAGGCGGAGCTTGCAGTGAGCTGAGATCCAGCCACTGCACTCCAGCCTGGGTGACAGAGTGAGACTCTGTCTCAAAAAAAAAAAAAAAAAAAAAAAAAAAAAAAGTCAGTTTCTGGTCAACATAAGTAAACAAGCCTATTTAAGATAAATTCCCCCTACTCCCTTATACCTACTCCTTGTCCTCTGCCTCAGGGTTATCTGTAACAGCTGCCTTCAGCTATTCCCCCCCAGGGCTCTGCAGAACCTTCTGACCTTTGAGAAGGTTTGCATCCTTTCCCTAGTTTTTCCCACCACTCTGACAGATCCCCTACACTTAAGGTTAAATGAAGTCATAAGGATAAGGTCCTTACCCGATAGGACTGGTGTCCTTATAGAAGAGAAAGAGCTCTCTCCCCCACACACATGCATATGCATTACAGAAAGGCCATGTGTTGACAGAGAAGAAAGCAACCATCTACAAGCCATGAAAACGACCCTCACCAGCAATTGACCCTGCCAGACCTTCATCAGAGACTTAGTTAGCAGCCTCCAGAATTGTGAGAAATCCATTTCTGTTGTCAAAACCACCCAGTTCATGGTATTTTGTTACAGCAGCCTAAGCAGACTAATACAACAAACATAGTTGGAGATGTCAACACACCTCTCTCAGCAATCAATAGAACAACTAGACAGAAAATAAGCAAGGAGACAGAAAAATTCACCACCACCACCAACCAACAGGATCTCATTGACATTTATAGAACACTCTAGCCAACAACAGCAGAACATATGGTCATTTTAAGTGCCCATGGAACATACACTAAGACAGGCCATATCCTGGGCCATAAAACGAACCTCAACAAATTTAAAAGAATTAAAATCATACACTGGCCAGATGTGGTGGCTCACGCCTGTAATCCCAGAACTTTGGGAGGCCAAGGTGGGTGGATCATTTGAGGTCAGGAGTTTGACAGCAGCTTGGCCAACATGGTGAAACTCTATCTCTACTAAAAATACCCAAAAAATAGCTGGGTGTAGTGGCACACTCCTGTAATCCCAGCTACTCAGGAGCCTTAGGCAGGAGAATCGCTTGAACCTGGGAGGCAGAGGTTGCACTGAGCCGAGATCGCGCCACTGTACTCCAGCCTGGGTAACAGAGTGAAACTCCATCTCAAAAAAATAATAATAATAATAATTAAAATAATATACAGTGTGTTCTTTCACCACAGTAGGGTCAAAGCAGAAATTGGTAGCAATTAAGATAGGAAAGTCTCTAAACACTTGGAAATAAACAACACACTTTTAAATAATCCATGGGTCAAAAAGCCAATCTCATGGGAAATAAAAATATACATTAAAATGAATGAAAATATTTCAGAATTTGCAGGACAAGGCAAAGCAGCACTGAGAGGGACATTTATAGCACTAAATGCAAACATTAGAAAAGAGAAAAAGCCTCAAATCAATAATCTAAGCTCCTCTCCCAAGAATCTTGAAAAAGAAGAGTAAATAAAAATAAACTCAAAACAAGCAGAAGGAAGGAAAACTAAAGATAAAATAATAAATCAATGAAATAGAAAACAGA